GGGTTTAGGGGTAGGGGCCTAAATAGGATTCAGGGTTTAGGGCTTTAGGCCCCTGAAATGAACGTTACTGTAGTGGCCTGAAGAATTTAGGGCTTAGCGTTGAGGGTCTAGTGTTGTAGGGTTACTGTAGGGGCCTTAACTATTAATAGGATTTAGAGTTTAGGGCTTTAGGGTTTAGGGCTTTAGGGCTTTAGGGTTTAGGTTTTAGGGTTTAGGGGCCTTAAGAACTAGAATGGGTTTTGGGGGTTCCTTTAAAGGGTTCCTCAAAGGGTTCTGCAAGGGCTACTATAAGGGTTTAGAGTTTAGGGACGACCTGAATAACTTGAATAGGGTTTTGGGACCCAATAGATACTATAAATATATAAGGAACCCCCCCCCCCATATATACTTTTGCAAGGTAATTATTAAGGCCCTTGTCATACACCCCAAACTTCCCTAAACCAGCTACAGCCTGAGTTCATGCGGTCCGGAACCCCTAAGCTCTAAACCCTAAACCCTTTGTTTGCTTGGGAGGGGGTGGGGGCATCTCCTGGAAAGAGATACGGCTGATGATATAAATCCTGCATTGCCGAGAATAAGGAATATGGGGGGTCTCCGAAAATAAGGGACCCTAATATAGCACCCTAAATAGTTATTACAAGGACCCCAAAATAAGGTACCCCCTAATTTTCGGAAACTCCCAGATAGCATCATTCCCTTAGTTTCGGGTCTTTAGGCTAGCCCTAAACCCTAAACCCTAAACCGGATTTAGATCATCAACACTAGGAGCCTTGAGTTCGCAAGGAAGGTGCAGGCCTCGGGGCAGTCATACACATAACAGAAGCAAAGCCTAGTTCAAGGGGCCTTCATAATTAGAATATAGGGGGTGGGGGCCCGTTGTACAAGAAAAAGAATAATAAGAATACGGATAAGAATAATAATGATAATAAGAATAGTAATGAATAAGAACTCGGGACCCCCACAATAGTATAGGTAATTATCTACGCCCCTATATTAGGGCTTGGGCTGTACGGTTGTGTTCGGCATTTACAAGGTTCAGGCGTTAGTTAGGGCCCAGGCTTTCGGATTCGGAGCAATGGGTGTTGGAGCCGCATCCAAGACGGTTCATGAGCAGAGTAGCTAGGAATCTATAAGGTTTAAGGTCTAAAGTTTAGGGTTTAGGGTTTAGGGTTTAGGGCTTAGGGCTTAGGGTTTAGGGGTTTGGGCTTAGGGTTTGGGGCTTAGGGCTTAGGGTTTGGGGCTTAGGGTTTAGGGGTTAGGGCTTAGGGGTTTGGGTTTAGGGTGCTGACCTGGACCTAGAAGTCCCTTGGTTTTCAGTAGCCGCAATGAAACAAGCTCGAACCTGTTGAAGGTTTAGGGTTTAGGGTTTAGGGTTTAGGGTTTAGGGTTACCCCATTGCAGAAGAGTGGCATCTTGACTACCTCCACATTCTTCTGGCGGCAGGCATACCTTAGGGTTTTAGGCCTTATAGGGCCTTAGGGTTCAGGATTTAGTGGGAAGAGGGTCTTCTACAAAGCGAGGCAGGCAGCGGAAGCTCGTGGGCACTGGTCGAGTTTATAGGGTTTAGGGTCTAGGGCTTATACTCCCGGACAGGAAATACAAGATGTGACATCTGCGGGTGCTTGGAAATCAGCTTGCCTAGCGGCCCTTAAAATAAGGATCCTATGCTGCTGGGGTGCTATGATATGGCCGCTCATAGCCAAACCCTAAACCCCCTAAACCCCCTAAACCCCCTAAACCCCCTAAACCCCCAAAACCCCCTAAACCCCAGACCCTAAACCTTAAACGCGAAGGTTTAGGGTTTGGGGTTTAGGGTCCGGGGTTCAGGTTGAGGGTCTGGGGTTCAGGGTTTAGGGTTTAGGATTCAGGGGTTAAGGTTGAGGGTCTGGGGTTCAGGTTTTCGGGTTTAGGATTCAGGGGTTAAGGTTGAGGGTTTGAGGTTTGGGGTTGAGGGTTTAGGATTCAGGGGTTAAGGTTGAGGGTCTGGGGTTCAGGGTTTAGGGTTTAGGATTCAGGGGTTAAGGTTGCGGGTTTGGGGTTTGGGGTTTAGGGTTTAGGGTCCGGGGTTCCGGTTTCAGGGTTTGGGGTTTAGGGTCTGGGGTTGAGGTTTTGGGGTTTGGGGTTTGGGGTTTAAGGTTTAGGGTTCAGGGGTTAAGGTTTAGGTTTTGGGTTTAGGGGTTTAGGGGTTGGGGTCCTGTTTTTGAGGGACTTTCTTGCCAACCAAACATGGCCCAATCTACGCACCCGGACGGACCTCCTTGGCAGGAACAGAACTCGAAGGTGAGTCCTCCCCAACCCGAATAGGAGCAAACTAAGCACCCCCGTAAACCCCATTCCCAAATAGGAACACACTAAGCACCCCCCTAAACCCTAAACCCAAACAGGAACAATCTATATAAGCATCCAGGAGGAAGGCTAGGCCCAAACTGCTTCCACGTCATTCGAGCTTCTGTAGCCCTAAAGCTATGTGGGTAGTTCT